TTTTAGTCATAATTTTCCTTTGTTTAAGTTACTTTCTCTACAGTAATCTCTTACTGCTTCTTTTGCAACTTACACAAACTATATTACAGACCCTTTTTTCAATGAGAAGTTAGGTCATGAAGAGTTTATAAATTTACTAAAAAGCCACAAAATAAAGTTAATAGTATGTGAACCTACGTAAGCGTATGGTAAACCCGGTCTATCATTATCAGTTATCCTAGTTTAAGATTCCAGGGAAGTAGGTCTGAGATTTTAGCGGAATTATAATCTTGTATGATGCTTAGTACTTTTTGTAAGTATGTCCAAGGATTTATATTATTCAACTTAGCAGTTTCAATTAGCGAATATATAGCAGCTGCGGTTTCTCCTCCACCATCTGATCCGGCAAAAAGCCAGTTCTTCCTACCTACCGCTATTAAACGCATTGCTCGTTCAGCAGCATTATTATCAATCTCTATTCTACCGTTATCTAAAAACCTCATCAGAGCTGCTTCATTATTTAACGCATAGGCATAGCCTGAGCCGTAGCACTTTTTTTAGGTAGTGCATGGTAGAATTTTTTCCAGTCTGCAAATAGCTTCTGGATTATTTCTTTAAATCTCTCTTGTCGCTGCTTACGCCTCTCATCAGGATTTAGACCTCTAATCTTCTCTTCGATTCTATAAACTAACGCAATTTGTTCTAATGATTTAAAAGCAATATTTGCTTTATCATTATTTACAGTTACCCCGTAGAACTTGCGCCTCGTATGTGCCCAGCATGCAGCTTCTATTATGCGAGCTACTGAATTATCATCACTTCTATATATTTGATCATAACCCGAAATAAGCATCAGCATGTAGTACTCCTGTAAAGTCTTGTAAATGGTTAAATGGTCGCTCTCCCTTGCGATCAGGACTATAAAAATAGCAAACCGCAGCGGGGTATTATCTCCATAATGTCTACCGTCTCTAACATAAGTCCAGATTCTGCCAATCTTAGTCTTCCCAATACCAGGGGCTAACACTTTAACAGGAGTGTCATCAGCATGGATTTGACTAGCAGAGAATACAGGATTTTCTCAAGCCATCAATCAATGGCTGTAATAGCCTAGAACATTGCCCAGCCCAGCCAGCCATAGTACTTCTAGGTAACTCTATACCTTCACGCTCATAAATTTGTGACTGACGATATAAAGGTAGGTGGTTGCAATATTTTTGTACCAATATATGTGCTAGTAAACCAGACCCAGCCTTACCTTTATCAATTGCTCCTGATGGTGGATAGGCTTGTACGATTGTTTCACAATTAATACAAACACAACGTGGTCTAGTATGACGTATCACTTTAAATGATGATGGAATATACTCCAGTGTTTCTGATATATCGTTGCTAATAGTACGAAATTTCTCACTTCCACATGTAGGACATTATAGAATCTGGAGTTAACATTATCTCAGTGCGCTCTAAATTATCAGGTAACTTCTGACGTTTAGGATGTTTTTTAGACGAGATTGCTGTTTTGTCTTCATCTTCCTTATCTTCTAATAAAATATTAGATAATTGATTACTCAAATACTCATTATCCTCAATGCAATGTTCAAGCTCATCTATTTGTCTATTTAATTTCTCTGAAGATTTACCAAAACGTTTTATTTTAAGTAAAGCAAGTTGGTTTTCAAGAGATGTCATTTTTTCTACCAAATCGGTAATAATTTGATGTAAAAGAACAATCTCAATAGGTAAGTTTTTAAGGTCTAAAATCATCCATGCATTATATCATTAACCCCCTTATATCTCAAAGATTTTGTAGGTATTTGCCTCAATAAAATACCATTTATCAATTCTATCCAGCATATTCAGGAGCCTTTGACCACCTTGGATTACGCCAATCTATTCCTTCAATTAACATTGATAATTGAGCTCTTGTAACACCAATAGAACGTTTATCATCACTTTTTAACCAGATAAATTTGCCACTATCAAGACATTTATAAAATAAACAAAATCCTTGTCCATCCCACCATAAAATCTTTATCTTATCAGCGCTTTTACCTCGGAAAACAAACATTGCCCCACTGCAAAATTTAGTAGATAATATTGATTCAGCAAGTGAAGATAACCCATTCACTCCCTTGCGCATATCTGTATAACCAGTACACAGATATATTTTAGTATTAGCTTTAGGATTTAACATGATTGCTCTTCTAATATTCTCAATATCGCAAGTAAACTTGAACTCTTAACCTTACCTTCAATAACAAGAGAAAAATCATTAAATATTAGTGAGGCTTTTTCTAAAGTAGAACTTTTGCTATCTAGAACTGACAATTCTACAAACCTCTTAGCTTTATCAGTTTCATTTTTGCTACTTGTTGTAAATTCCTTTGCCTCTTGTTTCCAAGTATATATGGTAGTTTTTGAAATATTATAAGATTTAGCGAGCTTTGATACTATGCAATTAGGAGCTTGAGCTTCACGTAATATTTGCGCCTTTATTTCTGGCAAAATCTTCTTAGAGTTATTGTACATAGCATTACCATCCTTATTATTAATTAAGCTATATACTACTATAAACTTTATAGTGATTAACAGACCGGGTTTACCATTCGCTTACCTTAAAAAGGAAATCAATCTTGAATATATAGTTCAAATCGATGAGGTAGTGACATTATTTTTCACTCATTATTTTCCTTTTGAACCTGAGCTTGTATATATTTACTAGCTTTTTCTAATGACTCAAAATGATATATACCAAGCCAAAACCCTATCATTACTGGCATTGTGATAAATAATATTCCCCATTGGCCAAAATACTCTGTCAAGTACACAGCTCCAAAAGAAATTATAATATGCATAAAAGCATGTGAAACAGCAAACAAAAAACTAACTGCAGTAAAACGCTTGAATACAGGAAAATATTTATAAAAAATTGGTTCAGCTGAGTTACCACTAAGTACAATTAACATAAAAAAGGACTGTATAAAAAATAGCTGTAATGGAGTGGTAATTATGTGAGTGAGTAAGTAAGGAGTTATCAGAGTAGCGGGAAATAATATAAAAAGTTTTGCTTTAATAATTTTCAAAGGATATATAAAATAACTTAAATATGCCAACAAAAAATATCCTAGCAAATTTATTATTGAAACAACAAAATTATGGTGAATAACCTGTTCAGCACTATAACCAAAAGAAGTTTTCAGAAGATTACTACAATGGATATATACAAAATAAAAACATACTGGCCATCCACAAGATATAAAGAATAAAGATATAATCGTTAATTTACTAGTTTTTTCTGTATAAATAGGATCATTTTTTAGTAACTTCATACTTACTTTAGCTAAGGCAAATTTTTTTTTGATTACAAGCTTTGCATTGACAAATTCCTGGGTTTCTTTAAGCATAGTTCTAGCAATTGCGCCTATAACAGCGATAATAGCTCCTATCCAAAATGCTAGTCGCCAATTTAATCCAAATGATGTCACTAATGATGCTATTCCCAATGCTGATGCTGATCCTATAGTATAAAAAACTGATATTAATGTTACAACGAAATATTGCGCGGGAGGAGCTGTAGTTTCAGTTAAGTAAATTTTTGCTCCGATTACTTCTCCCATAGAAGACATTCCTTGCATGATGCGGCATAGTGTCACTAGCCAAGTAGCCGCAACACCGATTTGTGCATAAGTTGGAAGGTTAGCCATTATGATGCAAGAAACAGCCATCATAAAAGTAGTGATTACAATAGTCACTTTACGTCCGATATTATCACCTATCCAGCCAAAAATTAAAGCTCCAAAGGGACGTAATACATATGTTGAACAAAAAGCCATAGCGGAGTAAAGAGATACTGTACGCGCATCCGTCTTTGGGAAAAACAATTCATTAAGAAGTAATGCCATGTGCACATAAAGCATTAAATCGAAATATTCTAAAAATGTACCTATTGATAATAGTCCTATAGCTTTTTTCTGTTCTTTGCTTAACGACAAAAATTTACCCGTATTACTCATCAACACCCCCGCAAATTAAATATCAAAAAACTGGCAAATTATGGCAACATATTTTATACATTTCTTCTTCCACTTGTAACATTTTAGGCATTATAGTCCTAAAATATACGCTAAGAGTCATAAAGCTTGCAAAATACTCTTCCAACATAATCTTCTTTTTTCGAGTAGATTGAAATCTTAGAGTTTGCATGTTGTGTAATCTATCAAATAGCTTAATTAATAAAGTATCATATTTTTTTTGATACCACAATGATCTAATCATTTCTGCTGCACTGACTTTTTTATCTAATTTTATCCTCGTTAAATCTTCAACTTGATTGGCAATTGCTGCACCAAAAATTTTATCGATCATTTGTTTGGTTAACATAGTATCTTCAATTGTATCATGTAATATTGCGGCAACTATAACATGAGTATCACATAGATGCTCAGAAATCATATATGCAACTTCTAAAGGATGAGTATAAAAAGGTTCGCCAGATCTACGTTTTTGATTGCCATGATATTTTTTTGCATAATATATCGCCTTTCTTACTTCAAACATATCTATTTTTGATTCTTCATCAAGCAATGAAAGCTTATCAAGTAGTCTAGTTGAGTAATAGCAACATTTAAATTTTTTTTGCCAATTATCAATATCTTCCATATTAAAATGCTGTAAGCTGATCTATTCAAATCTCATTGTATTACAAATTATTAATATAGTAAATCAAACCTTAAGCAGAATTTAAGGAAGCGTAATGACCTAGATATTTTCCTGCTATAGTTACATTTACTCAAATAACTTCAAGAATTGGAAAAATGAGCTGGCACAACGTATATATCATCATATCTTTACCCATAAGTTATTAGAGTACGAAAAGTTTCAAAGGCTAAAGTAAATCCCTAAGTCTTTGTATGCCTATCCACATAGATTTAATGCCAGGATTACCATCACTTTTTCTATTTAAAAACCCACCAAAGCCAGCAATTATCCTATTCATTTTATCAATAGATGGCGGTATATCTGGAGGTGGCTTCTGGATTGCAACGATATATACCGCCTTCCACTCGACTTCTTCATAAAATAATTCACAACTAAGGGAAGGACAAGATCTACCTACATAGGTTAAAAACAAAATTCTCCAAGCAATAACCATATAAATTGCTATGCAATTTTCTAGACGATTTATATTTTCTAACTGCAATTTTTCAATATTGCAACCACTTTTGAGAGTTTTAAAATATAATTGTCGGGTAAAGGACTGGCGTGGTATCTCTAATTGACCCGTTTCCAATCCCTCCCCATAGGAACTTATATCATATTTTTAAGATATAAGCGTCATTCACAAAGCTTGATATAAGCGAATGTTTTTCCATTCGCCTTTGCTCACGTACTATTTTCGCTTGCGCAGGCTCAGTTCCAAATTCATCTTGTCTGAAGCTTTGTGAATTTAGCTATACCTCTTATATTTAGTCATTATTTTAATAATTTATATATTGCTTATTATATATTGCTTGTATTTCAAGAATTGGATTTTATTTTGAAGGATAAGCGTGTGGAATGTAGACATATGTACTACATGAGCACGGAATGTCCGATAAAATAAAAAAACAATTTTTGAAAGATGGGTAGTATACTCCTACTTTAGTTATCCTAGTTCTTCCCGTTCAAAAGTAGTAATACCGGAGATTACTAAGAAGTCGTCTATTTTTGATTTTAATTGTTCTATGCCTTGTTCTATGTCTTGTTCTAAGTTTGGTGAGATAATGACCTTTGTGGTCTGTAAATGTTAGTAGTTTTTTAACCACCTCAATATTGTTTTCAACTACCATATCCTGAAATATTGTAGCATCTTCCTTACTTACATCATTAACGTCTACTCCTCCTT